CTTCGCCGAGCACTGGTCCTTTCTTAAACAAATCGCTTGCAGTCCCCAGCTGGGACCCGGCAGGAGTGGGGGGAGGTTCGGATGTTCCAAAAAGAACCCCGGTTTCCAGCTGCATTTTCCTTAATTAAAGAACCAGTTGTATTTTCCCTTAAGGGACCCCTTGGTGGCTTCCTTTTGAAGCCCTCTCCCACGGACCCCTCTGGTGGCTTCCCCGTCCCAGGCGCCTGTGGCTTCGGGGACCAGTGGCGCCGCTGCGTGGAGGTCTTGAGATTTCTGCAGCGCAAGGCGGGGATCTCATCGTTCGCCCCACGGGTCCCGTTGAATTTGGGTGTGGGTCTTCAAAAAGGTACCCGAAATGGGTTGCCCTGGCAAATGGAAACAAGGACTAAACCTGTGGTCCAATTCCCATTCCCGGTGGTCTACTTTTGACCCATACCCATTTGTCCGGGAGAAAGTGGCAAGGCAAGGCAGGATCGCCCGCCCCAAATTATAAATGTCTTTGTTTAAAGCAACAATGTGATGGAAACGCCCCCGAGCTCATCTGAAGTGAAACCAAAAGGAGATGTGGGTATGGGTCAAAATTAGACCACCGGGGGACCGCTGGTTTAGTCCTTGTTTCCATGTACCAGGGTTCCATGTTTGGTACCTTTTGTTGACCCACCCCCATGTTTTCTTTCAACTTGAGTTTGGTGGAGTCCCATGTTATGGAGCTATCGGACGGATTCAGGTGGTGCCCATAGCCAGCGCGTACTGCAGCACCGCGCCGCGGCCGCACCCGGCTTTGGGACGGGGGGTGGGTGGGGCGCCGCCACATGGAGCTGAAGGGCTGCGAATGCGCCGTCCTCCCTCAGGCCCTGGCCCGAAAGCTCGCCGGGTTCCCAAAGCTCGGCACTGAGGCAGGCGATTGGTTCCACACACAAATTACAGCAGCGGAGACGGCCTATGTCACTGCGACAGGCATCTATGACAACATGCCTGACCCGGATGGTGGAATTGCGGCGGGGCTATCCAGGACTCGACAACAGAAGACGCGGTCGCGCGTGAGAACAAGGTTCAAGAGATCCCGAGTGATTGGGCTGCCCTTCAGAACTCGGGGAAGCATGAAAGCGACAAAGAGACTGGCGCCGGTGCACAGGATGCACTCTAGCGGCACCTACACATATACACAATGGGTCGCTGCTGGATACATTGGCGCGCAGTTTGGCCGGCTGCCACGGGCGCCAAAATTCCTCAAGGGCCAACGCTGGTACAACTACCGGGGACAATGGCTTAAAGTCACCTTCAACGACGGCATTGAGTGGTGGACTGATGATCCATGCACAAAGCAGCAGCTGGCTGACGTAAAGGAATGGTTCCTGGGCCTCAAAAAGGTCAAAAACTGAACTGCGTCGCCGCAGTCAGTCTTTTGAATCATTGCTTCCGAAGCCTTTGTACAGCTGACGGCTTCGGAAGCGGTCGCACTTCAAGCACACAGTCCCGCAGATGTAAAAAGGGCTCGTCCGTTTTGCCTGAGTGTTTCTGTCGTGGCACAGTTCATGTTGCGGCATCGTTAATCGTTGATCACGCCTGTCGAAACATGCTCAAGTTGTACGGCTCAGTGGAAGGATTGCGAACAACGCACTTGAAACAACATGAGCGTGGAGTACTGCATCGGTTCCGACGAGCGACAGCGCTTGGCTGCAGCCCAAATCTGCCAGGCACCCCGTCAATGGACACCTTTCTGGGTGTTGTGGAGCGCCGCTTGAAAGGAGAATCGCTTCGAAAATCTCCTCTTGGCCGCTACAAGGAAAAGAAGATTTCATGGTGCTTGAATGAGGCTATGTTGGACATGGAGCGGAAGAAACTTGGGAAGTGCCAGGTAGCTCTGATTTCGCAAGATGCGCAAGGGCCGATGCTTTCTGTCAGATTTGCCTGTGTGTCAAACCGCACTGCGAAACCACAGCGCGGTCAACTTGAACTGCATCAAGGCCTCTTGGGGCTCTTCCACGGCCAAATTTGCGGCGCCCGAAGGCTTGCCAGGACAACGCTGCAAGTTGCAAAAACTATGTTTCAGGCTAGAAGAAAACCTCCGTCTGGGTGGTGCGGGAAGGCGCCGACATTTTACAAAAAGGCTTGGCAGCATTTTCGCAGAAGGGTGGAACCTAGGCGGCAAAGCTTTGCTTGCTCCATGTTTCAAAACAAAATGCTTCTCCCTGACGCTGATGCTGCTGAGGAAATGTTTGCTTCGGATGCGGCCGCTGATGAACTGAGAGCCGGCCGTTTACTCTCACTTCGGGACCACTTTTCTGCCGAGACTTTTCCAGCTATGAAGATTCGACTGCGCGACAGCGCGCATGCTGTCCAACGGCAACTCAGCGCAGTCCTCACGTGTTGCATTCCCAGTAAACAACCCTGCGCGGAACGGACAACTAACAGACAGCTGCCTTGCTGGCTAAGGTTTGCAAAGAAATGGCATCTTGACGAGACGCTTCAGGAATACATGCAGCAATTCATATCTGGAAAGGAGTCTATGACTGCGCTGATTTGGCATTCGCCAGATTTGAAGGTGATGTTTGCGAAGCATGTTGCTAGGCTCAAAAGTGGACATGTTTTAACACACATGCCGCAAGTGTGGCCATAGTGTCTCGTCGCGCTAAGGTTCGGCACATGGACGCCGAATTTCTGCGTCACAGTGGCATGAGAGACTTGCAGTCGGCCAAGCATCGTCATTCTTCTCTGCAGAAGCCGATGGGGCGATTTATCCTTCTTGCGGATGCGTTCTTGGCCACAGCTCACGAGAGACTTAGTAGGCATCAGGCTTGCTTGAGTATGTCGCCATTTCAATGAAAAACTGTGTTGCAAATCTAAGGATATTGCGAGTAAAGACCAACGCGAAACCCCGAAGGGTTGCCAAGAAGTTCCTGGAGTCTATATCCACAGAGGTGTACCTGCAAATGGCTATGATGGCTGACGCTGCTGATGAGGAGATCAGAATTTTACGCAGATTTGACAAGAGCCAGATGGACATGAGTGCAGCGCAAACCTGCTTGACAACCTTTGCTCAAAGGCTGCATGTGCTCTTCGTGCAGAAAACAGCCACCTCCAGTGGTTACACACAGCACGCTTCTAGACAGCACTGAGTCGCGAAGCCCGTGATAAGTTTTCAGAGCTTCAAAGACTTGATCTGACTGCCAGGTGCTGAAGTGGCTGGAAAGACCTCGTTTGATTCAACTGGGCGCTGGGCACAGGAGTGTGGGAGGCAGCGTTTCGCCGATCGTTTTCAACAGGTGCTTTGCAAGGATGGCTGCATGGCTCGCCCTTGTCTCGCAGACCATCAAGACAGAGTTTCCTGATTTTGAACTGATCCACAACTTGTCAGCCTTTTCGCTCAGCGGCCCCCAAAAGAGCGCTGCGGAAACGCAGCGCTGTCTTCTGCGGCTCTCCCAGATGTTCGACGCGAACTCTAAGCAGCTCTATGAACAGTTCCAAGACTTAAAGCCTACTGCCCAACGCCACCGACCGGTTCTGAGTTTGTTTAACGGTGCATATTGCTTGTCCTGCTTTGCTTGTCGCTTTCCAATGCTCTGCCCAGGAAAACAACTGTCCAAGTCGGAAGAGTTGGGTGATTTGCAAGCCTGGACCTTGGCAGAGTCAAGTTTCAGCGGCCGCTGCCCGGACATGTCTAAAACACTTGCCCGTGTCTTGCTGGCATCGGCGGCTGGAACTGCGCAGAGCGAGCGTGACTTTGCAGATATCAAGTACCACACTGCACGCGACAGGGCTTTCTTAGGCCCTTACTTCAAGGCGTTCGAGAGGCGGCTTCGCCAGTGGGACAAGAACAGTCTTCGTGGTGCAGTTGCTATGCTTGCCCAAAAGATTTGGCAGGAAGGCTTCGGCTCTGAAAGATCATCTGGGTCCGCTCGCAAACCTAAGTTTGTTTCCGGTCTTCGACTAGAAGCAAGCCGGCAGGACGCTTGGCGGCACATAGCTTTTTTTAACTTGCCGGAGTTCGCTTTGCACACCTTGCCGGCCAAGGCACGAACAAGAAATCCTGTTTCGGAAGCCGCGTGGATAGCTCGACGCCGGAAGAGTGTGAAGCGATGCTTAAAGCTGAACGATGCCCCTCGGGACATGCTGCGGCTGAGCAAAAGTTCCCGCAAGGCAGCTGGAAATGCAATTTCCACCAAGCACGAGGAAGCGACCAAAAAGTTGTCGGAGCTGAAGAAAAGACGGTGCTTTCAAGCTCAGCAAGACGACCTGCTGCTGCGGCAAGAGCAGCTTCGTCCAGCAGAGCACAGCCAATGCTTGGAGCGTAGGAGGAAAGCTGACCACCAAGCTCAGCTCGAAAGCTCGCTGCGGAAACGCAGGCGGAGTCAGCCTGAACTTCCAGCTCTGGCCAATATGCGCCTTGGCGTTTGAATTTGCTTTTGCGCCTTTGTTCTTGCAAGTTTTCTTAGGCGATTGCTCGTGAAAGAGGAGGCAGACTCTACTGACTTGCACCAGAAACTCCACTCTTTGGGTGCCCTGGTGGTCAATGATTATCTCTTGGCTGAAGGCGTTGTGGTGAACAATGTCGCAAAACCTGGCTCTCGAGCTTCATGGCTAATGCGACTCTCTGGTGGTCTTATCGTAAGCCAAGCTGCGATCAAGACCGGGTTTGGGCCTTGGGTTAAATACAAAGGGCCAGCCAAGGGCACCCGAAGACATGTGCTCATTACGCCATCATTTCGCAAACGTCATCCGCGATTCGCTGTCTTGGCACAAACACGCATGCAAGAGCTCAACTGGAAAGTGTACGTGCGGGCCTTGGCTGGCTGTGGCACACTTGTCGTCCTGTCCGTGTCCCGTTTGCCTTGTTTGGAGCGGCGCGCCCCTGGTAACAGAACTGAGGACAAGGCTGCCACCTGGGTGAACGCAGCCAAAGCTGCCAAGACCAAGAAGAACTATGTGAGTGTAGGACTTGTGCAGGAAAAGTCCGTGCTGACATCCACAAAGATGTTCAACGCCCATACATTTGTACAGTGGGGAGCTCTTGGGGCAATAGAGCGATTCTGCCTGGGTCACAGCCGCCAATGACGAGCATTGGTCGCTGCACAGAATCTGCAGACTGGGGAAAGGGCTGCCACTGCCTCGCGTCATAACAGAGAGAAACACGTCTATGCGATGGCTCGCTGTCTGATGACGGAAAGCGCTTCTTGAAGCGCTGGGAGTTAAACAGTGTACAAAGCCGGGGGGGGTGGGGGGAACCTTGTCCCGGCTGATGCGCGGGTCCGGTCAGCCGAAAAATCCTCCATTTTGTGGGAGTTTTGTTTGAGCGCTTTCTGCCACGCAAGCCTGGTTTTTGGTGTTGCTCCCTGTGTCTGCCAAATGAACAATTCTGATGCATCAGAATTTTGGGCCCCTGCGAGTTCTGATGCACTAGATTTTGGGTCCCTGCGAGTTCTGATGCACTAGATTTTGGGCCCCTGCGAGTTTTGACGCACTAGATTTTTGAGTCTAAGTCGTTTATGCTTTTTCAAACGGGTCCTCGGGCTCTTTTGGGCCCGACAGCCCGAGTGCCGGGGGGTTCCGAAGCAAGCAAGGGGCCTTCAACCAACCTCCAAATGTGTATACCACCCTAGGGTTTTCAGCACATTTTAAAAGCGCCCCCCAAATCTAACATAAAAGTTCATACATAAATTCTTGAAATTCCTATCCGCTCGCCAAATGCTTTGAGTTATCCATTTTGATGAATAACTTAAACCATTTCAAACATCTTTAACCTCATTCTTTTCTATATTT